GAAAGGAAAGGAAAGGAAAGGAAAGGAAAGGAAAGGAAAGGAAAGGAGAAAGGGGAGGGGAAGGGAAGTAGAAGTATGACTTTCTCATGGAAATCTATTGTTCTAAAAGCTCTTTAGGCTTGCTTCATTGTGAACAATGACATGATATTAATGGGTGTGTGCAATGCATGCTGTAGGTGTATATGTAACTGAGGATTTTTTATGCTTTTTGCATAAACCAAGGGTCTGATTTGCACATCACAGAGCCAATGTCTCAGTTCGCATTATGCTAGCTCCCAAAATAACCAACCCCATTATTGTTTCACATCATCCTATGATGTATTCCAGATCACTATGGCACTATTCCCTTTTTAAATTCTTCATATCCTTTTCTGCAGTAGCAGTAACCAGACAGAGCTTACAAATGGAAGAGGAAGGACCCTGCCTGAACTTCCTGCAAAACTCTGTTAACAAGACAAAGAGTTTCCTTACTTAAAGAGCTTTACTTTACAGCAGAGATGGGGAACTATGGCCCTTTTATGACTTGTGGGCTTCAATTCCCAGAATTCTGATGGATGGCTCAGGAATTCTGGGAGTTGAAGCCTGTCACAAGTCATAAAAGGGCCATAATTCCCCATCTCTGCTTTACCGTATTCTTTAACAATCCCAACAAGCTGCGTCATTACAAAGAACGACCACAATTGAAACCAAAATTTTCTGTTGCTAAGTGGGACATTTATTAAGCGAGTTTTGCCCCGTTTATGACCTTCCTTGCCACTTCTGTTAAGGGAGTCACTACAGTTGTTACGTTACTAACACGTCTGTTAAGTGAATCTGGCTTCCTCCTTGACTTTTGGGCTGTCAGGAGGTTGCAAAAGGGGATCACATGACCCCAGGGCACTGCAGCTGTCATAAATAAGAGGCAGTTGCCAATCATCTGAATTTTGATCACGTGACCATGGGGATGTTGCAATTGCAAGTGTGAAAAGCAGTCGTAAGTCACTTTTTTCCAGTGCTCTTGTAGCTTCAGTGACTAAATGAACTGTTGTAAGTCGAGGACTATCTGTATTAAAAGTTAAGGTTATCATGCTATACCCTGGTTTGGAGGGAGTCACATCAGCATGTCTGATCACCCTATGCACATCAGGTCATTCAGCAGGCAGCCTTAAAACGAACAACATCCATGGAGCTACAGAGCCTCAGTGGAAATGTATAGTAATTACACAATTGAGTGTTGTGTTTAAACAAGAAATAAAGTCGCAGTGACATTCATTTCTATCCCTTGCTCTCTGATTCTAGAGCAAGGTTCCACAGACTGGCAATCTTGTCCTGCTATACGATAGCCCAATCAACCTAGGGAGGCACGGCTGTCTTAATCAAACCTACCATGAATAACTTCTGGTAACTCTTTTATCATGAGGGACTAATGATATGCAATATAGTGATAAGTAGCCTAGGATACAAAGACACCTCTTGCAGTAAAACCACATTTCCTCCATACATCGTGCCCTGTTAAATTACCAAAGGATGGCAAAACACACCTAGCATTTCATTGTTAGGACATTAAAGCACTTACCAGGTTTAGGGATGAGTCCTTGGAAAGGCCTGAAAAAGGAAAAAAAAACACCATAGTGTTGATTATGAAACAGAAGTAGGCTTTAAATTAGCCTTTGCGGCAAATTTCGGGTCTCAAAAAAATTGTGGACAGCACTACCATCCACCCCAAAAAGATTGACACACAAAATAGAGAATCTGGTTGTAGCAGAAATGCAGGCAGAGTAGGCACCTCAAACTCGCAGCCCGTGGTCCGGATGAATCACGTGCTGGCCCTGCCCCCGCCCAGTTTAGCAAAGAGGAAAAAAGTCCCGAAATGTCATGTGACACCGCCGTGATGACGCGAGTTTGACACCCCTGCAATAAGGTTATGTATACTGTATCCCTCAATAAAACAGGGGTACCCTATTATAGCATCTATTAGAAGCCACGATGACATCCTGACATCATCATGCAAACGATGCCAATGATTTTGCATTATTTTGTATATCATGATATCGTTGACATAACTCACCTTTCCTTATTAAGCCTATATACACACACTTCATCTCCTGGACTGATTTATCAAGTTAGGTAAGTGAATGTTGCATGTAAGATGGCTTGCCTTCAGAAGTTGTGGCTACTCCATCACTGGAGGTTTTCAAAAAGAGATTGGACAACCTTTTGTCTCAATTGGTATAGGTTCTCCTGCTTGAGCAGGGGGTAGGACTAGAAGACCTCCAAGATCCCCTGCAACTCTGTTATTCTGCTAAGATAATACTTTCCTTTCAGAAAGATTTTTTAGAGCTATTTTGCTACCACTGAAAACAAGTTGTCTCAGTTTTGTTTTGCCGTTGTTTTTCCTTGAAGTGTCCATTTTGGATATAATTCCCTCCTCTATGCTAAATCTAATTTTCTTTCATGCAAATTACCAAGCAGGAACCCATCATTTCATATCCCAGGATATAACATATTTAATAGCATGTTTAAAAATCAAACATCAATATTTTCAGTAAAATAAGATCTAGGACAGTGGTGGCTAACCTTTTTGGGCTCCTGTGCCAAAAATTGTGCGTGCACGCTTGCGTGCCGGCACCCAGAAGGCAATGTGCAGAGCCCCCCCATACCCCTGAGCATGTGTGTGCTATTTCTCCCCCCCTCCTTTACCTGCACTACATCTTCCAGCTGATTTTAGGCCCGTTTGAGGCCTTTTTCAGCTTGCCAGAAACTTTTTTTTTTTGTCCTGACAAAACGGGCCCATTTTTCAGCCTGCAAAGCCTGCAGAGGCTTCCCTCAAGCCTCTGGCAGGCCGAAAAAGGCCTGAAAATCAGCTGGGAGTTGCGTGCATGCGTAGTCAAGTAAGTTTGCCTGGGGCTCACGTGCCTGCACAAATGGCTCTGCATGCCACCTGTGGCATGCATGCCATAGGTTTGCCATCACAGATCTAGGATAACAAGCAATAATAGGAAAGAAACGGTGTATACGCCATCTAAGCATGGGATTGTACAAATCAGCTAACATCTCACCCTAAGCCATTTTAATATATGGTTTTTAAGTAATGCACCATGTCCAGATTGACACATAATGCCAAGTCACAAGTTAAGATTTTTAAACCACAAAAGTTGGAAGCCAAGCCAAAAGTAAGGAAACCATATTAAGGCTCTAGAAAATGTTTGAATATACAGCTGAAAATTAGAACCTTATGCAAATCATTGAGAATTTTGTAGGAAGAAGATCCAATTAAGACATCTAATGCCTATGAACCAAGAGACCAGAAAGTCACAGAGGATCAGAAAACAGAGCTAAGTTTAACTAATCAGTCTGACTTCTGCAATACTACACTGATGCGTTTCTCAGTTTCTCTTTTGGTTTTACATATCACATTTAACCAGGCCAATTACAAATCAAGCAGGTGGACTTTACAATGTGCAGTTTTGTTAGCATCTAGATTTGTACTTGCAAGTCTTAGCAAGTTGTATAGATAGCATAAACCTATCCTGCTTGCTTATAGTTCATTCTACTTTGCGATCTCAAAAGAGTAAATTTAGTAACTACTGTAGATTAAGTGAATTGTACAAATGCAACCACCAGATGGCTGCTGAGATCATGCAACGGGCTTATAACATATTTTACCCGCACTGAATGCCATTTCATGCTAATCTAGTGAGCTGGCAGACCAAAAATAAGACGACTTAGTGGAGATCCTTAAATTTCTGGGATTCTCTCACCAAAAAAAGACATCGGATGGTATTGGGCTATCTTTTTGAATATTGTTGTTGTGTTATTCCCAGGCCTCATTGGTTCCCATGTTTTTATTCAAACCACTCATAAATAAATTCAGCTTTCTGGTATTTTTAGGTGGTCATTTTAAGGTTTTATTAACTGATTTTATCAACTGATTTCAGTGTTTAACTATTTTTAGTTTACATTTTTAACCATCAGAAGCAAAGCTTCCACGTAATAGACTAACTGAGTGGAGGGGATGTCCATTTTTCTCAACTGTTAAATGAGAGAGTACATCAATCATGGTAGATGTCAGCAAGCAAGCAATGCAAATTATTCTCATCATTTATGTAATGTGTGTAATAGCGTACTTAGGTAAATAATACCTCACTGCATACTGCCTGCAATTATGCAAATGATGTAAATTCAGGAAAATTATGTATCCATAGTCTATTGAGCCAGTCCATATTTATCCAAAAGGTACATAATTCCAAAAGAAAGGCTATCTTGACTTTAAGACATCTCTCAAGAGAAAATGAGACTAGAAAATCATATTTTATTCCAATATCTATATGCCATACTTATTGTATTCTCAAGGATTATATCACAATATTTTTTTAAAAATAAATTTTCTGGAGGAATGGGGAAACTAGCTGTCTATTCAAATATAAAATTTGACAGGCCTCCACTTTGAGAAAAGTTCTTTTCCTATAAAACATAGGTGATAAAACAGATTAACACGCCTACAGGTACCCACTGCTGCAACCTGATGCGTATTCCTAAAGAGACTTACCTTGTAACTGTGAATTTGATCTTGTCTGCCACGGCTAATATCCTCTCCAGATTCTGAGAGCCGAATGTGCAAGGTTTCCGGAATGGGATTCCTGGTGGCAACCCTTCTATGATCACTGAACCTGGATTGCTTTTGATACGCTTGTATGGCACTTGGACTGGGTATTTGATACCCAAAGCCTCACCTGAAAGGAAGATAGCATGAGGAAGGTGTTAAATCTTTCGCCAACCCCTTATTTTGTTCTTGTTCAGCTTTGAAGAACACTAAGCCGGCTTGGAAAAGGCAAGAGATACTCATTTGGTCCAAAGGTGAGTGCAAGTGTGTCTGACTTTCAAATCTCCCATGTCAAATGGAAAACCAGAAGAATTTAGCTATTGAAATATCTATTTTTCTTCATTTCATCATGCGGTTCCTATAAAAAGTGCTTGTTAAAGGAAAGTGCCGAAATACAGGAGTGTGTTTACAGTTTGTTTACTGAAGAGAAACGATGATGGCAAGGACCACTCCCCCAAAGACCGTATGCTTTTATGTATGCATTAAGAAAAAAATCAATCAAAAGTTCATGCAGATGCTTGTCTGTAAGTTTGCAAACTAAGGACCACTGTCACACACACACACACAACATAGATAACACTCTGCCCTGTCCTGCAAGGTTCTCCTACCAACTAGGCCTAATACCAAACTCCCTAGCAATAGGCTCTGTCAAGGTGCATATGCATAGGCATATTATCTGAACTCCAGCTGTACAAGTGAAAAGGATCTGTGTCTCCTATTTTCATTTTTTGAACTTTTCTGTAGAGCTGGACTTAGTCCCTTACCCCTGAAATAAACCATATCCTCCTTTGGGGCCTTAACAGGGTGGATTATATATCCTTTCAAATTACAATTCCTCATTTTGCAGGCAAACCATAGTTAACCCAAACTGCCAACCATGATTTGCTCAAAGCAGGAAATGTCTGTTGGAGACCGCAGAAAGCTTGGCTCTCATTTATCACACCCATGTTGGAAGAACTAATTAAGGCTTGGTCAATGGCCATTTTCCCAGAGAATCTAAAGTTGGATGATTTTATGGCTATGGACATGAGCAGGAAATGCACTGAATTGTTCTAAAAATTGGCCAGAAGAACAGAGACACATTTAAGAATGACTCAATTCAAATTGACTCAATTCTCTTAAGGCATGTACAGTTTCTTTTTAAAATGTCTATATTTTAATCCAATCTATATTTTTTGCAGGCATCTGAACATTAAGCAAGACCGTAAAACACCATCTCTACCTAATCTCCATAGGTATGGATCTTTTAAGAGAAGAAGTCTCGGTAGCCACATCTCCTGGGTGGTATAATTAGTTTTTCCTTATAAAGGCTTGGACTGGATGATCCTTGGTGTCTCTTCCAAGTCTGCAATTCTAAGATGCTATCATTCTATGACTGCTAACAGCCAGTCATTTTCTCAGATTAATGACTCCTCTTTCTCCCTGCCAGTGGATTTATGGAAAAACACTTACCATACTTCTTGTTGAACAGATCTTGAACCTGTTCCCTGAGTGTATTTGCAATGTCTATCCTTGACAGCCGAGTATCATAATTTTCTATAAAGAAAGATGGAAACCATAATAGAATCTGTCCTACTAAATGACAGGTTTTGTCAAACACAAGGAAGATCTAAATACAAATTAGAATGCACTGGACTCTCCAAAAACTATGCTTGAAAGGCTGGACATCAGATTTTCTGTGTTGGGTGATTTTAACTTTGTAATCTTTTAAAAATAAAAATAACATTGGGGAGGGGGAATACAAAAAATGCCTATTTCAGCTTTAATGTAGCCACAGAAAAATCTTTTAAACGCAAAATCCGCATAATTGGACTTCAATTGTCAGAAGTGAAGATGATTCTTGGATGAGAAGTGAGACTTTTCAAAGAAAAACACAGGAAAATACAGTTGCATTTTGGGAAAACATATTTGAGATAACCATGACCTGGATGATTGGAATCTCCATAGACAACTGTACTGCAAAGTAATGAAAAGTTTTAAAATAGTTATTCATACATGTTTATTTTCATTTATTAGAAAAAATGAAATCCCTGAGCACCAGATAAACTAAAGTTTAAACCAAGCAAACTAGGTCTTCCCTGCCAAGAAGAATTGGGATTAATTAAAACCCACCATTTGAACGCTTACAAAGGGACAGGAAACTATGCTTTGCTCCATTGGAGATGTGAGCAGGGAATAATTTTTTTCTCCTTTTTTTCCTTCTTATTTTTGAGGTTAAAAAGTGCCATGCCAAGACCTTTCTCTTTCAGCAAACACTTTTTTCAACTTTAAATGTTTTTGATAGTTTCCTGCTGACTTTTTGTTGTTCTAAGATTATATTTGCAATGTGCCCAAGAGTTTTGCCACTTGAGTGGCATAGAAAGCCATATCATTAAAATGAACAGGGAAGACTTTTGGCAATTAGGTAAAGATGTTAATGTAATAAATATGAAAATAGGTCTAGTTCTCCCTGAGATGGCAACTATATATTTAAATATCGCAGTCCATAACAGATGGGAGCTCAGACAAAAGAAAATCCCCTCATGCAAAATAATTACATCCCCAAGTATAGATTAGCATGTGAAAAGTACAGCTAGACTAGAGAAATACTGTCCTTCCTCAGACAACTAAGTTTTCCATTTACAGATTGGTTTATTCTTTTCTTTGAATGGAGTCATATTCAGTCAAGGGACCTTTATTTGAAACATAAAAGAAATATAATACAATCTGTCTCATGTTAAATTTTGTACACAAAGCACATCATCTTCAGCAACAAGGCAACAGCTGCACATTTCTACAAACTTTTTGGAAGAATGGCAAATTCTGATTGGCAATCCAGTGGGAATGCCTTAAAGAGACAACAGCGCTGACATGCAGAAAACTATCCTGCAAGTTACACGATTAATTGAAATCATAATGTCCCCAAGGGGAGAGGGTGTCAAAAAAGTCAAAATGACAGCCACAAATCCTATCTCATCCCCATTCTCACCTTGAAATCCTGGTCTTTTTATAGGTTCCTCAATAGGCTCAATGGAGACTCTATCATTGGCTGCCAACACAAAGAAAAGCTGTTTAGATTTGTTTTCATTTCTTTTATTTTCCATCTTGAAGTTTAGGTATTATCCATATGGCACCTGCATGCAGTAGGGTACCCATGATACCTCCAGACTGTGTCCAACACTGATTATGTTTTCAAACCCTAGAAAGGGTTGAAAACTTTACAAGATCGCCAGATTTCAATGCTGGCTTAAAATTTTAGATAAGAACAGGGTCATTTTGTCTGGATTCACAGAGAATGTCAAAAATTTCATGAGGTTTTAGGGGGCTCACCTGAGATTATAATCTTTTCACTTGAATTTACACCAGGGTGAGGGGTGAGGTTGCCAGATTCTTGCAACATTTGGCAGTGGTGGGATTCAAATAATTTAACAACTGGTTCTCTGCCCTAATGACTGGCTGGGTGGGTGTGACCATGGTGGGCATTGGTGTGACAGGCAACACTCAGTCTCCTGTACCCCCCTGGGAGGAAAAATGGGCCACCACCTCATTTTGGGCCTAGTAGGCCTCCCTACAGCCTCTTGGAAGCCAAAATGGGCCACGGGGAGAGGCCATGCCACACACCCCACACCTTGTTTTGGGCCTACTGGGCCTCCCTGCACTTGCCTGGGAGCCAAAACGGGGCATGTGGGGAGTCCTGGAAAGGGTGGGGCAGGGAGAGGCTAGCCAGCAATTTATCAACCAATTCAGATAAAGTGGTACAAACCAGTTGAATCTCACCATTGATACTTTGGCAATTTGAGGATTGATTATGTGCCATCAAGTCATTATTGACTCTCAGCGACTGCAGATTTTCTCCATCGGCAATTTGAGGCACTCTTGAGAAGTTTTATGATAACCTTTTATTCTATCTACATATCTACTTAGCTACCCGCGTGATATACAAGGCTACAAAGGCTGCCCATTTGTGCTGAACGCTTCTCCGAGATCTATATATTTTTAAAGCAGAAAATGATGTTAGAGAGCTAGTTTGGCCTAGTGGTGAAGACACCAGCTAGAAAGCATGAGACAAGTGTGGCCTTAGCCATGAAAGCCAGCTGGGTGACCCTCCCTCAAGTCACTCTTTCTTAACCCAATCCACCTCACGGGTTGTTGTTGTGGGGGAAATAGGAGAAAGGTTTGTTGGCTATGTTTACTACCTTGAGTTATTTGTAAAAATAATAATGGTGGGATACAAATAAATCAATTAAAAATAAATATTAAATGTTCGTCAATGTCTGGATTAAACCCGTTTATTTCTTTTTTGCTTTGGATTTGGTTTTTAAAAAAATCAACACAGCCTTGTCGGTGGCTGTAATTCTTTGGCATATCAAAGCTTTAAGGTAGTGATAATAGTCAGCATTTCTTGCTCTTGTTTTCTTTTGTTACCTCTTTAGTAATTAGGATTCAAAGGTGAAAAGATACTTTGGTCCATGCAGAGCACACTCCATGGTGCTAATATACATGCCATGTATTATATATCATGCATATATATATAACCACATGGGTTCCAATGCCAATCTAGGCTAATATGTCATGCTTATGAGGAAAAGGATTCTAATGAGCAAAAAACGTAAGCCATAGTAAATTTGCCCATTTTTCAGTTGACAAGATTCTCTTGATTTCTTCAAAGACAATAATCAACCACTAGGAATTCCATGCACCCTTACCTATTGCTCCTGAGCTATCTGAGGTCATTTCTTTCATTCCTTCTGTAAGAAGTTCTGGCCTGAAAGACATTATCAGAGAAATACTGTATTAAGGTCACTGGTTTTGCACTGGCTAGTAGCAGCAGCAGCTTTCTGGGTTTACAGACAAAGAATATTTCTTAGTTCTACCTGGGCATTTAAGGAATAGAAGCTGGACCTTCTGAAAAAAAAACTTTGCTATTTTGCCTTCCTATTAAAAGCCTTATTCCATCAGATGATTGCCTCTATTGGCTTGTCACTGTCTCTAGCAGAATGGAGTCTTCCTTTTTTTTAGACCAAGAACTGTATAGATTGTAACCCAAAAGGTCATTAAATAATGCACAAGCAGCTAAATTTAATTCATCTTTAAATCTAATCCAAATTAAATGCAACCAATTAAACAGGCTGAATGGGATTATTTTCATAAATTTTATCGCTTTTTTGCCTTTTGTCTCATTGAAAATTAATATTTGGAAGAAATTTTAAAAGTACGCTCTATCAGGTATATCTAAAAGATCTCATGGAGACAAAATTCTGCAATCAGAAACAGGAAAGATTAAAAGATTAAGATTTTACTTAGGGAGAAAAACACTGAATAATCTCAAGGATCAGACTTAGAAACAACTGCTAGATTTTTTTCCTGTTGCAGATTTTTCAGGCAGTGCACAGCAGGCATATTCATGCTATTATGAACTCTGGCAAGCATAATATACTTTCAGAAACTACGGTATAGATTTGAAGCTTCAGGATTTGGGAGCTGGCAGAAATACCTTCCTGCCCAAAGTCTAAAATATATATTGCCTTATACTAAATCAAAATGCAAAACTTTCCGGTTTATAGTTATTTCCACACCTAAAACAGAAAATTCTGCTTGAAAATTGTTGGACATGAGAATTCCATTCTCATGTCCAACAATAAAACTACAGTAATAATGGACAGTAAGCAGCAAATAATTTGCAAATATCTATATCAACAAGTTCTTGCCATTGTAGAGTCTATTTTATTCTGTCTCTCAAATAAAGTCAAAGCTATTAGATTTTTAAAAGATCACAGTGAATTATTAACTTCCAGCAAGTATGTCTGGGGGGTAGTAGATGCATGACGACCATGATATGCTGTCATTCTGCAAACAAACAAACAAAAGGGAGTTACATAAGACAAAGAGGAAAAAAAACAATTCTGACAACATTCACCTTACCTCTTGATAACAAACCGAATTCTGCTGCTTGCCTGAAGAATCTTCTTTAGCTTTGCAATCCCAAAACAGTTGGGCCGCCTGAGTAGGATGCCATCGGGCAAGCCCACCACAAAAAGGTCCTCTGGGTACATCAAGAATTTGGAATACGGGACTTTGACAGGCTCAGAAATTCCTATGGCTTTCGCTGCGGAGGCAAGCATGTCACTTCAGAGAGGAACATTGCCATGGTCGCCATTAAAGAAAAGTCATGCTGGAACTGGGGAAGGAATCTGCTTTGGACTGAACTGCTTTTCCCTATCAGGAAAGAACTTGCTCAATGGATGATGAGGAAACTACATCCTCCACTCCCATCTTCCACTCAAAATCTGACCTCCTAACTGAGCAAACATGGCTGTCTCTCGGTTTGGGGCATCCCACTCTGCTAGCCATGCTCGCTGTGGTGACTAGGGATACTGGCAATATAATTTAGCAACATCAGCTCCATCTGCAGATACAGACTATGAAAGGAGTCCAGTGAATTTCATAGCAATTTCATAGGAACTGGTGGTTGCCGATTCCAGTTTCCTTGAGACAATTTCATAGACCCTGCTTGCAATGATCTATCCAGAGGGCCATTAAAATCAGAGCACACGAAGGCGGGGGTGGGGGGTGTTCAGATTTTGTGCCTAACCCCTATGCTTTTTGTATCTTGGTGAAATGTTTGTGGAGAGGAATATACATGAAAACCGTCATAAGGAAAAGGGAGTAGATTTTTGTTCTCCCTAGCAACTGAGGGTAAGAAAACAACCTATGGGTGAAAACTTTACAAGAGAATTAAGGAGGAATTTCCTGAGTAGGAGAGCCATTAAGCAATGGAACAGACTACACCCAGGAGTTGTGGGTTCTCACAAAAAGACTGAGCAGCCTTTTGTCTGGGATGGTATTCAGCAGGTTCTGACCAGTTCTGGAGAATTGGTAGCGGAAATTTTGAGTAGTTCGAAGAACCGGCAAATGCCATCTCTGACTTTTACAGTATCCTTCCCCTGCCACGCCCACCAAGGCACGCCCACAGAACCAGTAGTAAAAAAATTTGAATCTCACCACTGGATGGTGTGAGAATTCCTGCAAAGGACAAGAGGTTGGCCTAGATTCAATGTTTCTCAACATTGGCAAGTTTAAGAGGTATGGATTAGGCTAGTCTGGGAAATTCTGGGAGTTGAAGGCCATACAAATGCTGGCCTAAAAGACTTCTAAGATGATGATTCTAAAAAAAGAATTCCGTAGTCTTTTTAATGTGTCCTCGGATTGGGAGGGAGCCATTAACTCTATTGAGTCCAATCCCCTCATGCAATGCAGGATGAGATAATCAATTAACTATCCTTTGCTGTCTAGTAAAGGAAAAACTTTCTAGCAATAAAGGCAGCAACAAGAATTTCAAAATGACAGGTAATTGAACTCAGCATTGGGGGGGGGGGGACTCTTATCTTGAAGAAAAAAAAAGAGTGAAATATCTCACCATATCTTGCGTTAAATAAAATTTCTACTTGTTTCCTCAAGTGACTTAAAACGTCACTGACACCATCTGGAAGACAAAAATAACAAAATGCAGCGACTGCAAGAAAAGAAACACTCCCACAGAGGATGAACGTATATACGCCACCATATATAGGGCAGCTCATAAATAATGCATGTTTAGTAACACTGGAAGAAAACAGAAGATCAAAGCAGCAGAAAATCCCCAACAGTCAAACCAAGAAATTTTAAAAGGTCTGGAAAAGAGAGAAAGGAGACAGAGGGCTGCTTTAAAATGTGCCTTTCTGCATTCCTACATGAAATTAACAAATAGGCAGGCATCAGTTGGACCAATATATTGACTGGAATTAATTATTTGCTGATTTTGCACTTTTCAGAACGCTGAGGCAAAGTGCTCAGTTGCTCAATTCTATATTAGCATACCATTAAATGCTCTATTTCCCAGAAAGAAAAAGTATTTCAGACACCACCCCTCCCAAAAGGGCCCCTTCATGGATTATTAGTTCATAGTAATCAAGGGGTTTTTGTATTCAAATGACTCTATGAGCTGCAGTGTTGAGAGTACTGTAGTGTAAATTCCCTGAAGAGTCATCCATTACTGGAGGCTCATAGACAGGAAATTGGATGAAATAGGACCCACTGGAGAATGAAATGGCAACCCACTCCATTATTCTGGTAGAAAACCCCCAAATGGACATTAAAAATCAGGATATGGTCAATGTGATACTAGAATCTACCCATCAGGGTAGAAGGTATTCAACAAATTACTGTGGAACAATAGAGGGCAACCTCCACCCTCATGGTACTCTCACAAAGTGGCTAGCTGATGTGATCATGGGCATAACCAAAGTTAATTCTGGAAAGATAAATATACACCACTGGTGTGTGGAATGTCAGGAGCCATAAACCAAAATAAACTTGAAGTAGAAATGTCGAGGCTGAATATAGACATTCCAGGAATCAGCAAACTGAAATGGCCTGGAATGTATCACATCTTATCATAGGAACATCGGATCTTCTTCTGCGGGCAAGAAAACCATTGAAGACATGGAGTAGCTATCATTATTAATAAAAGAATGTCAAAATCATGCTTGGCTATGCACCTCGATATGATAGAACGATATCAATTTGTTTCTAAGGCAAGCCAAATAAGATTATGGTTATCCAATTTCACAATTCAAAGGGGATAGAAAAGGAATTGTTATGAGTGTTGAAGTAATTCCCCGTTAGGAGAATGAGCGCATACAGGGAGACGTATTTGA